GAGTCCACTTTGTTCTAGGCTTGATACAGCAGCACGATACAATCTGCAATGATACAGACTTTTTTTCCTCCACCAGATAAGTCTCTGGGGCATTATATGGAATGAAGTATTTTTAAAAGAGCATCACATAAAGGAAGTTTTTAAAATAGATTTAAAAAACAAAGAGCAATTCAGCATATGCATTACCCATGTGGAGCTCGTTTGGCAAATGCAACATGGAATTACTTAAAGCTTGCCCACAGCTTTTTTCTTTCCTTTTTTTTTTTGATTCTACTTCTGGCAGCATGACCATGGAAAACATTAGGCTCAGACTGTTATTAATACAAGTTTGTAACCTAGGAAGTTATTCTTTATTTCTGCCTGCTGGTTTCCAGTTTCATTAGATGGTTTTGCATCTGTTTACAAGTAATGCCATTTCAAAGATATGGTATCCTCTAGTGTAAGTTGAAAAGAATTGAGCACTTCATTAAATTTAATGCTGAGTGTGGTATATAACCTTTTTTTAAAATAAACTCATATAATTCCCCATTTCAGTCGAGTGTACTCTTGCAGAGGTGATAAGACTAAACAAATTGACACAAGTGAGCCAGAAAAAGAGAGAAAGATTTTGAAGGACTTTTTTTTCTAGCAAAAAGTAGCAAACCCTTCACTTAAAAGACAATGTTTGCAAATGTCTGCAACCATTCCTAGTTTTAGTGAGCTAAAGACACATTTTCAAAACTGCAAAATTATCTCACTTAAAAAAGAAAATTACTAACAGAGAGGTGGTTAAATTGAGACACAGCCATAGAGGGGGAAGAGGCTGCAGCTACTCTCTTGTCATGGGATGGGGAACAAAGAACATATTTGGTGGTGCTGAGGAAACAAGGGTGATGGCTGTAGTCTACTAAATCTCCTCTCTCTGCAAATACATCATTCATGCCAGTGCTTCAACCGTACCCAAGAACAGATGTTTACACTTGCATTTACAACTACATTTATTGAAGTAAACTTTCAAATATTTGGAGTGAATTATAACATGACCAAAAAAGGTCGCACATTAGTTTCCATGTGTTATGTCTTCTCCTCACAAATAAATAATTATTAGTTGGGGTTTTTTTAAGAACCAAAAAACAAACAAAAAGAATAAAGCACAAATAACAAAAACACCTGTGGTTGGTAACTGTATTGATAATAGGTAATATTTCTGCTGCTGTGTTCTGAATATTATCTTACAGCCTGTAGGTTTGCAACACCTACTAACCATAAATAATAATCCCTTTTAATACGGTTCAATTTACAGATTTCTAAATCACACTGAAAACTTGGCTAAGAGCAGCCACATCATCCATCTTCAACCACTAACATATACATGTACAGAACTAGGCAATACTATGCTCTGGGTAAAAGAAACTCTGGACTCTCAATTCCCTTTTAGATTTTTTTCCTCCCCACACATAAACTCATGTTCCCAAAATTAAACTCATTGAAAGAATGGGAAGCTGTGAGTTCCTGAGATGCATTTTCAGTGGGGCTTGCAAACACATAAATGTAAACCATGTTATAAATTCAAACCATTTTGGCTACAATTCCAAGTTCATTTTGAAGAAGATTTGCTAGAAAGAAAGGGCTTCTCCTCTCTGGTTACTTCTGTACTCCCTGACAGACCAGCCAAACATTGCGCAGTCGCTGAGGGAAAAGAATGGAAGATGGAAACCAAATTAAAAGAAAAAATTCTTGACCCATCTCTCACTCCTCCCCAAGAAATACTCATGACTCAATCACAACTCAATGAGCTGTTGATACTCAATGACACTGCATTTTGGAAACACTCTTGAGTATCTTAAGCTCCTCCCAAAACAAATAATTCACAAACTCCTTATGAAGTGACAACATCAAATGTTTTACAAGATCCTTCATAAAATAATGGAGATGATAGTAGTAAATGAAATACAAGAAGCAATGAATAAAAAATCGTTCAGCATTGATAGCCAGCATAAACATTTTAAAAAAAATGTTATTTCTACCTTTTGGGTTTTTAAAACTTGGATAGTGACTGTCAGTGTTATGAATAAGAAAAAATCTTTTCTTGGATATGCAAAACTAAAAAGAAATTATACAGATCAGGTCTTTAAGAAAAAAAGAAAGAAGCTTCTCTCCAGTCATAAACCCTAAGCATAAAGTAACTTTACACATGGCACAAGAGATCATCGAATCTTGTGCAGTAAGTCTGCACAAGCTGTACAAGTGTGAGCAAGAGCGTTCTTTTAAGGGTGGGAGGTAAAATGTTTGTGTCCTGAGAATCTGCAGAGTTAAGGAAAGTTGTCTAAGTAGCAAGGCTATATAAGGTTATATATTTAAATATTACACCTCCCTTTAATAATAGAGGAAATATTCATCAATCCTCAGCAGGATATGAGTAGCATTGTAGTTTTCAATGGACGATTAATGGATGAAGCAGAAAGGTTTATCTTTATGCTTATCTTGAGTGCACTGAGGGTATCAGTTGCATACATTCTTGGATTTCATTCATATATTAGGGTCTCTACTCTCTCTGCTGCTTTGTGCTGAAGCAGGCCAAAGTCACAAGCTTGAATCTTTTCAACACTTTGATCTGGAAAATGCAGCTAATGAAAAGTATAGTTCTTGATCTACTTGTAATGGTGGCAGAGATTACAACTTACTTGAACAAGAACCTTGTAATAGACATGAAAAAGGTATATAACTTTAAAAAAATACTAACTTGTATGTACACTGCAAATACAGGCATATGTGTTGCCTTGAATTCTGTAAAGTGACAACTTCTTAGAGTGCCAAACTCCTTACAAGTAATAGTGCACTTATGGTGTCACTGACCTCTCCCCAGCCTCTTGGTGCAATCCTACAGCTTTTCTAACACTTCCCCAAATCCAGCCTTCATTCTCTTTGCGCTAGAGAGTAGGCAAATATTAGATTCACATAGGAGATTGCATGCCTGCTCCCAGATGTTGTCTCCAAATCCATGATTCAGTCACGAAAACACAGCAATTCCTCAAGACTGTTAAGGTCACAAAAAGCATCTCTGAAGTTCCAGGTACTGTAAGAGGGCATATATGATTCACTGAAAGATTAAATAAGTCAATTTTCAAAGCAACCTCCCATTCCCCTGACCAAACATTCTTCCCCAGTCTTCATAGAGGTCAGGTGCAGGTGACAACCCTTTAACAGCACACAAAGGTTGCAGAGGGAACATTCGAAACGTTAAGTGAAACAGTTTTGTTCTTGAGGTGGGTTGGGTTTTTTCTTCAAGGGTGGAGGTGGGGTTTTTGTTTGTTTGTTTGTTGGAGGGTTTTTTGTGTGTTTTGTTTGTTCTCTTTTTTCATTTGTGGTTTGCTTTTTTTCAAGGAAAAACTGAGCCGATCCACTACAGGGAGAGATAACATGAGACTAAGGCTAACAGACCATTTGTACTTTAACTGTCTCAGATAAAACAAAAAAGCAACACTTCACTATATGGGTACTATTGGAATGAGGAGGTTCTCAGTCTAAGCAGAAACATGTCAAAGAGTACACTGCCAGTAACAGTTCAATTCCTATAATCCCCTGCACTCTTTTGTCCCCTTAAATACTGTATTTCAGTCCACTAATTCTATTCCTATACTTAGAAATTAAAACTAACAGAACCAGCAATTAACCCATGAAATATTTAAAACTAACAGCATCTTAAACAAGAGAATCGCCATCCTCTTTTTAAACTCCAGTCAAAAAGGTAACTAACACTTGAAGCAGGCAATTAAGAGTTCATAGTACTCTTTGTAAAACTGAATTACTTGTAAGGCTTCTCTGTAGTCATATATAGGAATAAGTCAGCATAATACTTACATCACTGGGCAAATTTACTGCTAAAAGATTACTATGCAAATGCCAGGGAAGCACTTGTCAGCTAAACTAAACTGTGTTAAAAAATCAGACTTAAATTTCTTGCTGCAGAGTTAGACAAACCTTAATGGGAATCTTACAGGTACTTTCCTGTAAAAAAGAACATGGCACAAGTACATGGGTGTTGAAAAACCCCAGTATATCTCTCCCTACATGTTTAAAAATCTAAGCTTTATTAAGTTTATCCAAGAGTCCAAATGAAAATGTTCAGAAATATTAGAGATTAAAAAACCTTCCCAAAACCTATACTAAAAAGGCATTAAGAAACTGTTCCCCTCCTATAATATTCAAGTAGTCCTAGTTTTAGTGGAAGTTATTCTCATTGGAAAAAAAGTCTAATTGGTCAATACATGACATGCCTTCAGAAGTCTTCAGTGAATATTCCTTTTGGACAAAAGAAATGCAGAAATAATTAAAAGTTGTGCATTGGAATTTTAACATGAATGAATCAACTGGGACGTATACCACAGCCACAGAGATAGAATAGTTAAAAAAGTAGCAAGAATAATTTTTATTTGAAAAAGTAGAAAAAAGCTTGAGTAGCACTGCAATTCTGCTAACTTCTGTGCTCACTGCTCTAAACTCTTGATACCAAAGCTTATACATTTCATCAAATATCAAGCTGTAAGACAATTGTTGTAGATTGAGAAAGAAAAAAAGGGAATGGGTGCACTCAGGTCTCTGTTTGAGTTCGGGCACCAGAACTAACTAGTGAATCAATGAAGAGGACAGGCAATAAAATCCGTTCTTTTTAATGGGGACAAAGTTTTATGTTGCTCATAGTTGTAAAAAAATTGGAATGGGCTTCAAGTTAAATCCAAACTTTCAATTCTTATCTTGCAAGCTTTGGAATATGACCACATACTGATTTCACAAACAGCAAATGAATCAGTCTTTTAGATAGAAACTGATGGTGGGAAAGGTTCTTGGAAAGTACAAGGCATGTGACTGCAGTTCTAAATGTTCACAGTAAAACGTGAATTCATGCAACCATGTTATTCCAACATCCCTTCACCCATTTGTTCAGCCCATTCAAATCTCAAATGTGTTTACACCTCCTGCAGAAGACACCAAAATGTGTGGAGCCAATGAAAGCAACACAGTTCAACTTGCATGTTCACCAGCTGTCCATTTATATTCACTAGGTACTCATAGATAAGTACAAGTCTGCTTAATTAAGTAGAGTTTTTCCTTGTAGTTCAATGAGGGACAAAAGACAACCAAGTACAATTTTTTTTTTTTTAATAAAGATAAAATTACAAAAAAGGTAAAATCAGCTCAGGAAAGGCAAATTACTTTAATAGATCAGTTTAGACATTTAACATAATAACTCACATCCATTTTTAAATACTATTACATAAAGCATGGTGAAGAAAGGAATTTCTGCCTCATAATTAGAAAACTCACAATACAACTTGCCAAAAAACAGAACAAAGCCATTTGAAAATAAATACAGTCCATGCCAAATAGTACAAAATGAAATCAGCAGTCTCTCTTCATACAAAAAGTTTTCTCCTTTTAGGTGTTCTCCAACTCTGGTATTATGTTCTGCAACTGATGAGAGGCTATCTTTTGTTCAAGGGTTGCTGAGCTGTTCTGATTTTGCTCTGTACAAAGGCAAAAATAAACTGTTAAGTTGTTTTACTTTTTTAGAAATGCAATTTTGAATTAGTAGTCATGATTCTAAAATATTTAGTATTATGAGGAACTTAAAGTGATCTCTACAGAATTTAAAATATTATAAAGTATGGATTTAATTAATAAACACTCTTCAAAATGATTACATCATTCATTAATTAGTGTTTACCCTTTGGCGTCTGTCTTTTCACCACTGCTGTCCTTGGCTTTATCCTCCTCCTTAACATCTGAAAAATCACGAGATTTTAAATATACCAAAAGATGCAAGAAAGCCTTAAAATACTTAAGAAGTAAACAGCATGACCAAAGTTGGGTTTTTTTGTATATAATTCTAGCCAGAGGGAACTAGCTTTTAAAAGAACTCACTAGTTACATATTAACATACAGTGTTAAATACATCCCTCCAAAGGAGGGATCTGGGCACAATGCCAAGTGACTCAAAATGCCTCGAGGAAAGGTCTCTCTTGACTGGCCGTAATGACAGCATGCAGTAATAAGACCTGGAGTTCCCATGAGCTCTTTGTGGTAGTCTTGTAACTTTAAGATGTATCCTGTTCTTAGAAAAATCAAGAGTCCTTGGAATTAAACTCTCCCTAGAACTCTATCCAGCTTCTGTTTCAGAGAAAATTAGTTGGCTCACCCCACAAACGCAAACAGGAACAAGTACTTTGTCCAACACATTTAAAGTGAGAATCGTTCTTATCTCTATTTTCATTGAGCAGTACAGATCTCTGGTTCTAAGATTTCAAGCTTGTGGAGAAGGAGCAATATCCCTTGCCTGAAAACACTATTCTAGTGTGAATAGTTGTATCTTGAAACTGATTAATTTAAAATAGAGGCCTTAAATATGATGGAAAAAATATATCATCTCAACAGCTAACCAACCGCTAACAGATAAAATATCTGTCTCCTGGCAGGACTGACATCTGCAGTTCTAAATACAGGATGAAATCACATCAGAGTCCTACCTGCTTTTTTGTCCTCAGTCTCTTTTTTGTCTTCCTCTATCCTGGCTTTCTTTGCTCCTTTCTTATGATCTGCAACATTTCGTCGCCCGCCTTCTCCTTCATCTTCAGAATCCGAAAATTCTTCATCACAGGCTATGCGCTTATCAGATGCTCGAACTAGGATTCAGATTTATGATAATAATTAATCATAAAAGTCCAATCACAACAATTTTTTTCATTAAAATTCATTGAGATTTCTGAAGTATCTGTTATAGGTCTGAAACTGCCGGACTGTTTTATAAGATGTAAAAAAACATGCTCTTCCACTGCTTCGTTAGACACTTTAGCAGGTTCAGATTTGCAGACAGATACCACCTTAAAACCACCAAGACTAGCAGACTAGTGGCAAAATGTTTTATGTAGGAAACAAAACTGCCAGTCTTCCAATACTGCACATGGCTATGCCTAAGGTTCTGAACAATTAAATCTAAAATTACTATATTTTGACATGTTCTATCATGAAATGATATTTCTTACTAGAAATGCGTTTATCTGGATCCTCTCCATCCTCATCTCCACTATCTTCATGAACAGCATCTTCAGGAATGGCCTGCATCTGTACACCAGGTGCATGAGGTAACATACGCAAATTCTCAAATAAGCGTTGCCTGCAAGTAACAGACAAGAAAAGTTATTACTTCACAGAAGTAACATTTCCTTGAATTTTGTATTAAGTTCTGGAAACTCTGCATTCAAATTTAACCTGCTTCACTTTAGTCAGTTTCATTTTTCAATTTAAAAAAATGTCATGCCAAGTTCAGAAAGTTTTCCATCCCTATGAGATCATTAGTGTCCTCAGTGCACTTGAATATCATTGTCTTTGTACTTTTCAAATACTTATTTTAATTCAACCTTCAATTCCCCACAGGGTCAGCACAAGCACCACCACTTGTGCTGAACTGGCAACAGTATTTCTCTATAATCAGCTAGAGTATCAACTTGGATAATAAACTACCTTCTAGTTTCTTAGAAAGAAAGTCAGACACTTGAAGCATAATGACTTCCCAGTTGTGTGCAGCAATGACATCAGAATCAAAAGTAACCCATCCAGATAAGATTCCTTACTGTCTGTTTTAGGGAGAACAGAGAGAAGTTCTGTCCTGTCTAAGCAACCTGATGTGATGGACATCACATTCCAAGCACCATGTGCAGGAGCAGGAAAGACACTTAGTTTCTCTTGGGACTCAAAATTATCATTCCAAAGTGCAAGCAAAAAGCAAGGTTTGGCAAGCATCAAATATCAGCATTTGCAATAACTATGTCAGTATCCTTCTGCAGAATTTGAAGAGTTAAGAGGTAACTAGTGCTTTTTTGGAATCTTTACAGTCTTTGCCTCTGTTTAAATCACATGACCTGGCACAGTAGTTCCACCAATCCAGGGAGCTCTGTAAAGCCAGGTCTCTATGAAAGCACACAACAAACTGAAGGAGAGTCCTCTGAAATGAGGGGTCAGTGACCTTGTGGGTGCTAGTATAAGAATGTGAGATTGTGTGTTTTCTACTGACAGAGATACAGTCTGTACCCAGGGATGCAGCAGCAAGTTTTGCAGACTACTCGTACCACAAAAGCTCAACAATGTAAAACATACAGCAAAGAGCCTGGCAGATCACCAGCTGGAGTGCTACATTACCACAGAGAAATTCTGTACAATTATACTAGTGAAAAATAAGTGTGCTTTTTTCCCCTCGTGCACATTATTAAAAACCCTTTTATTTGATTGAGATTTATATATTTGTGCTATGAATACCCATCACAGTCTATTCACCAATCACTTAAAAAATTAGTAGTTTAACTGCTTTGGTGAATTTTGCAATATGAGAGTTTAAAAGTTAAAGTAGTACCGGCAAACTTATACAGGTAATTTCAAATCTTTATTCATCTATTTTTGGTAACCAAAAGAATTCCTGTGCACTGTTAACAGCCTGTTAAAACTTGAGGCAGGGATGGCAGTTTATTTTTTTAAACCCAGAGCAATGACAAACCATGGTAAGCAAAGAGTACTTTAGGTTAACCAATTATCTTCTGTCAGGTCAGTACAGAACCAATTGTACATATTCATTACTCCATCCCTGAAGTAAAATATTTGTTTCCAACCAAAACTTCAAGATGTGAGGAGTATCAAAAGTGGCACTGGTTAAAAACACATACCCGTCATAGCTTGGCAATGAGCACTGCTCAAACCTTGTGGATTTGTCAAACCACAGTCATTTAACTGCCTGCACACATATCATTGTCTTTCCACAGTTTTGGATGTTCAAGCTCACATATGACGTTTTATTTTTATAGCTGCCAGCTACAAAGAGTGACAGTCTCAGTTCACATTTAGATACAGGGCTGAGAATTAGAAATCCTGATCATCATGGCACACCAGCTTCCTTCCTGGCAGGATAAACTTTCTAAAAAATTAGAATGGAAACTCAAGTAAAATAGTCATCTTTTTAGTTGTTGGAAATAGTAAAAATTCAAGCTGGGTCATAAATTTTCATATTTATAGTCACAGGACTTCATAAGCATACATACTGTTGTAGGAAGAGAGTTCCAAAAAACCCCTCTTTTGACAGAAATGAAAAACATGTCAAATCTATTCAGTACTTATTTTTAGTGTGTAACAGAGAAAGGCATTCAGTTTTCGAAACTGCCTAACAATTAGGCTACTGGAGAAGCATGATCCACATGACCTACTTGATAGGTAAGATAATCATTACTTACTTGATCTTCTCCATATATTCTGGTGTATTCTGATTAGTCATATTTGAAGGACTAATATGAAGCTTGAAGTCTGGCCCAAAATATTCAAAGTAGTCGTTATATGGCAACTCTATAAACCAAAAAAACAAGACAATTTTGTGATCCAAAAAAGATTTTAAATACAACAGTAGATTTGACAGAGTTTTACTTAGAGAACTATCACACCTGAAGCATTCAGGTAAGCAATACTTGAGCATTACCTGAACTGTTCAGTGTTTTTCCTCTAAATTATTCAATAAATGAACTTAAATTTGGTGGCAAAACACAAAGTGAAAGATCTCCTGTAATCACACATTAGAACAACATAAGTAATAAATTTGATAAAATAATTAAAAATGCTACTTCTGCAGGAAAGAAGATCAACTGACGATTTCTTGTAGCTGCTTTCAAAATTAGTCCAGTTTGAAGGGTTTGAGTAAACAATTCAAAATATTCTTTCAGTAAAACTTTTAATACCCATTACTAGGTTGAAGATCACAGCTAATTCAATATCCTTGGTAAGGGCTGTACAGTGGTTGAGTGCTACCCATGTCTGTCGGTTTTCTCCCTTAACCCACTTTTCATATTTTCACAGATAATGGTCCCCTGACTGGAACACTGAATCACCAAAATGAAGGTGATGAAGACTTGATAGCCAGGACAAGAGTAGTATTTTATATTGAATATGACTGTATCTTTCCAGACAAATTAAGAGAAATCTAAAAAACCCCATAGAACCCTTAAGAAATATGACACTGAAATCCATTTTTAATTGACACCTTTATCTTTCTTCATCTATGATTATTACAGGATAAAAGATCTTGTTAGGTGGACAGAAAGCAGACAGGAAGATTAAGTTGCTATTGCAACATTTAGAAATGCACTGCTATTTCTCAGAACAGATTAAAGATAACAGGGACACAAAAAGTTGAGAGGAACGTTAAAAAAAAATCCAAAAAACTTCATATGCATATATATAATTCATTGAAAGGGGCATGCTAATGGAAAAATAATCCCAAGATAAGGAAATACTACTTTCTCTTCAAAAGCTTTGACTGACAAAGAATATATGTTGACAAGAAAGATGGAAAATATATATCTTGAAAGGCACAGTCCAAATAGTCTTTTCTCAATGACAGCAGTATTCCACTCAATGGACAGAAACACTGAATCTACCAAGTGATACATGAATAGCAGAAGTTTATCAGCAAAAGCTGAGATCCATCATGGAAAATGCCAGTGACTGATGTGCAACAAACCAGTCCAAATAGCAATTTTATATAAAAGGCATTCCAAAAACATGTCCAAGAGCATATCTGGCCAGAAGCAAAGCAAGCACAGGATCTTTGGGGATCTTCCTCAGAGAAATTACTGGTTTTAAATTTTTTTAGATAGCTTGTATAGCCAAAATTGAGTGAAATGGAAGAGTGAAAGCCCATATACTTTCACAGCTACTTTTAAGTCAGATACAATGAAGAAACAGTAGTTTTTTCCTATGTAAAGCAGACACTTGCATACTCGCTAATTTCTTATGAATACCACGTTCATGTTGCAGCAGTACATATTCTATCATACTGATAATATTTGTACTAGAAATACTTACAAGTAAGGTTTCGTAAGTTTTACATTTCGAATTTTCAAAAAATGATCCACTCACTTAAAGCTCTTGCTGAGGCATAAAAAAGCCCCAAATACTTATGTTTATTTAGTGCATAAGATACTGAAAATTTATTAGCTGAATCCTAACAATAACTTTCTACATAGTTTATTCTACACTGATGCATTAGAGCTGCCTAGAGACATATCTGCTATCTGTTCACTTAAAATCTCCCATGATTATTTCTTAATAAAATATTAATTTGAATATTAATATTTACCATTAGGAATTTCACAATCTAAGGCAACAGCAGTTTCATAAGTCCAGCATCGAGCGACATTACGAATTGTATAGCCTCCTCCTCCTAACATCAGCAGCGGCAAGTTAAAAGTCTTTACAACTTCCACACATTTAGCATGACCTGTCAAGCAAAAAGGGAGTTGACAATATATGCAAAATAGCTACTGAACAGAAAAATATATAATGAACTATTTAATCAGACATATGCAGTCACACTTAATAAGTAAGGACTGAATTGATTCAAACAGAACTGTCTCCCCCTAGAGCTAAGCACAACCTCACAAGAAGTCAAGACCTACAGATGAGAAATGTACAAAACACAACGAACATCATCCACCCCAGTCTTCAGAGATGCATGATGGTCTATTGTTGCTCTGAAACGATCTTAGAATGTTCAGTGTTTTGTCTTTTCATAACTCATGTCATACACAATGACAAATCTAGGGACAATTTCTCAATCAAATGCAATGGGGGAAAAAGGGAAAACAAAATCAGTACTTGGTCCTTTCTACTTCTAAATTTGAACCTGTATTAGAGGTTGCTAAGTCTTGCTTACAGAGTGAACTGGTGCCAAGACAGTACACACTCCAGGGAGATACAGCATACTGAAAGGCATCTGTAGGAGGCAGCAGCTCTCTTGGTTTCCAAGATATGTAAGATGGAAAAAAATCTGAGCTGTATGGGCAACTGAAGTAGCTTTGCCACCTGGTGCAAATCAAGAAAAGAACCCTGAAACACTGCAGACCCAACAGATACTATACTGCATTTTGTTGCCTACAAAACTCTAATTGTCTCATTAAAGAAACCCCATAAAAACAAGAAAATCCAGAAAATGAATGATTCCAATAGGCTGGATTCAAGGCTTAGCAAAAGTTCAACATACATTTAACATTTTGTCACTTAAATAAATAATAATAAAATGATAATAATAACAGTAACATTTATGCTATTTGCTAAATTAACATCTTATCCCAATTTTGAGAATCACAATTTTGGATAGAAATTTAAGTAATCCTAAAATACAGTAATTCTATGAAAATTAATAAAAATTAATGTAAACATTTCGCTCGGTATAACAAACACCACTATAAATTTAACAATGCAGACAGTCTTCTCATTTCAGTAATACTTATTTTACACCCAACATGGTGTTTGATGTTTAACATCTGTAGTCTAAGTGGACTACTAACTAGTTTTGTTATTTGCCCATCACTGTCTGCGTTGCAGATGACTGTTGTCCTGTCATTCCAGGATGCTGCTTTAAAGCTATAGAAAGCCTGTACATAGAAGAAAGGGAATCACTTGAGTGGCTAGGAAGCACATTGGAAAACCAAGCTTCTTAACTTTTTTAGATGGACAGAAAGAAAGAGGCAACTTCTGGGTTTCTTTTGGCCACCCCTGTATAGCAAAGAAAGAGGTGATTAATCACATTAATGAACAAAATCTTTGTGACTCCAGTCCTCATCATGCAAGTGTCTCGAAAAACAGTATGAGGGGTAGAGGTTTCTAGTAAGTAAAAAGTTACAGACGACAAACAGACACTTTTCTGTTTACCTTTAACAGTAAGATTAAAGCATCCCAGCCTGTCACCAGACAGCGAATCTGCTCCACACTGTAATACTACAGCACTGGGCTGGTACATCTCCATTACTTTGGATATAATCTACAATTGATATAAAATAGTAAGTCATTAACTGACATTATGAAAATAAAATCAAACTAGCATCTTTGCAGAGAGATTAAAACCAAAAAAAGTACTCACTGGTTTGAATATTTGCCCATATGATTCATCATCTATACCATCCCTCATTGGAAAGTTGACAGCATAGTATTTGCCTTTTCCGGCACCAATGTCCTATACGCAAAGATGACAATACTTTAATACAAACACAGAATGCTATCATGGAAAAAATCTACACAAATCTGCTGAGTTATCATTATACATATCTGTGAGGAGTAAGAGGCAAAGTTTACTTGGTTCATGTTTTCCCATAAAACCATTTTGGAGTGCAGGAATTATACACTAAGACTAAAATAGCAAAAACACACTCAATTTTTTAATTCAAAGATATAAGACAAAAAGACAAATCATAACTGTTTACTCTGGTAAAAACAGTTAAGCAAAAGCAAGTATGAAAACCAAGAAGAGTAACGTGATAAGTATGTTTTCAGTGTTGTATAGAAGATTTGGACTTAAAGAGGTTTTTAAAACCATATTATTTTGCCACAAACATAAGATGAGGAAGCGGCTGCAGCATAAGGGAGGGAAGAAAAATCAAACTGAGGCCACATACAGGTGCCCTTGAAGAAACTGAGACTTTTTAAACAAACAAACAAAAAAGAACTTGTAGATTATTCTCAGTTCCATCAGGTGTCAAGACAGGAACCTCAGTAGTTTATCCTACCAGCTTTCCTAGATAACATATGCATTAAGAGAAAAAGTTCTTTGCAAAAAAAATAATCAAGTGAATACACCCTGAATCCATCCACACAAAGATCTCTGCTTGACCCACATTTGCATTTCTTCCCTTTATTTCATCACCAAGACAGACAGAAGTCTGTTTTGGTGACAGAAAACTGCTCCAGTCTATAGAGCAGTTTTCTGCCACTAATAAAGGTGTAGTGGAGCAGACAGTGAGAACTGATCTGTTCAGTATGGCTGTAAACAAACAGCAGCTCTGCAGAAAGATCTGCATTTCAGGTCCAATATCCTTGAAAAGCTAAAAGTCATATGTAGGATAACCCAGCAATACTAATACTAAACTTCTCAACACTACCTACTGTAAGAGTCATGGACTTTTTCCCTCTTCCTGAACAACGCCTCCTTAGCAGTAAATGCATCAGTAAAGTGTCACTTCCAGTAAATATTTTTAACTGGAGTGGGTGAGGGGAAACAGATGGACATGGAGAGGGCAACAAATGGCCCAATGAAACATAAACACAGGGCTAACAGTTGACTTTCATTGCCACCAGAACACTATTCATATTTCATACAGTATTGCAAGACTAGTGACACTGAAGACCCCTGCTGAATGCAACTCTGGATGATTTGAAGCATAAATTATCCACAGTCTCCCAAAGTGAATAATCTAGGCTTTAAGATGCTGAATTTTCTGAGGTGATCACAGAATGGTCAGGGTCGGACAAAGGGACCTCTGGAACTCATCTAGTCCAAACCCTTGATAACTCAGGTTTCACAGGATCACACCCAGATGGGTTTTCAGTATATCCGGGAGACCCAACAACTTTCTTGGACTACTAGAGTGCTCTTGTCACCCTCAAAGTGTTTCTGTTTGTGCCCACTGCCTCTTATTCACTCACTGGGCACTACTGAAAAGAGGCAAGTCCCATCCTTTTGACACCTGCCCTTGAGATATTTGTAAGCATTGATGAGGTGATCTCTCAGTTGTCTTTTGTCCAGGATAAAGAGGGTCAACTCTGTTAACCTTTCCTCATAAGAGAGATCCTCCAGTCCCTCCATCATCTTTGTTGACCTCCACTGGACCCACTCCAGGAGTTCCATGTCTCTCTTGTACTGGAGAGCCCAGAACTGGACACAGCACTCCAGATGTGGTCTCAACAGGGCTCAGTAGAAGGGGAAGGATCACTGCCCTTGACCTGCTGGGTCACACTCTTCCTGATGCACTACAGGACACCATTGGCTTTCTTGGCCACAAGGGCACACTGCTGGATCACAGTTAACTTGTCCACCTGGACCCCAGGTCCACAGAGCTGCTTTCCAGCAGGTCAACCCCTAACCTGTTCATGGGGTTATTTCTCCTCTTGCCTTGCTTTACAGATTAAAAAAAAAAAAAGAAATCATTAAATTCATCTTATCCTAAAATACAGCAAAGTCAAATGTTCACACTATTTCCCACTAAACAGAGTAGTTGCTTGAGCTACTCAACAGATGTTTTCTGTAACTGATACTTGCACTGGATATAAAGACTAAAGAAACAATATAGCATTCTGGTAGCTTCCCATTCACCTACAGATCAAGCTGACTCATTCGACCTGGGCCTCTCTGCAAAGCAACTTATCTGTCCATGTATATAAATGACAAAATTAGTGTTATTATCTAAGATGTGTACAAGGTCAAATAACTTACTAAGGACACTGGAAGTTTAGACTGAACAATACCTTCAGTAGAAAATGGATGAATGCTGATGAACTAGAAAATCTCAGTGAGATTCAGCTACGCTGATGGAGCAGCAATTACAAAATCATTATGAGACACGACGTTCCTGAATCAAATAAGTGTAACCTGATCAGCAATCTAGATCAACTAAAGAATGACAGAAACAAGCTGGGAAACATGCTACTGACCAAAAGAAAGATAAGATTTGGCTGTTAAAGTTGATAAAAATAACCACCAATGGCAGATCAAGTTAGGCAGAAGCAAGCAGCACAATACTGGCCTCCAGAAGGAATACTGACTTTTCAGAGAATTAGTTCTCCCTTTAGTTCTATTAGCTTTTCAAGCTCTGGACATAGGGAAAAGCTATTTTTTTCCTATGGGGATGTAATTATTGCAATAAAGCCTGCTAAAGACCGTATGAAGAAAACAATCATTTCAAAATACTAGCTAGCAGTGCAGAATAAAAGTTACCATGCCTGAGGTAATGTTTGTCACTGACACTGTGCCAAAAAATAAAAAAAAACAATAACAGACAATATTCTTCTATTTATTTCAACTGTGTTATCTTTAAATTCTTTGTTCTGGGTGTGGTGAGGTGAAGAGTCCATAAACTTCTCTGTCAACGGGAAGTGCTGCTTCTAAAAAGCCAACATATCTAGCCCTTCAAAAAAAAAAAAAATCTAGCCAAATTCAGCAACAACAGCTTGTCATGATAAACATCCTGGTCTGAGCTGCTTTTTGTTTGAAGCACCACTACCACCTTGTGGCCAGTCAAGTTAAACCACACAGATAAAAACTCTAACCTGATTTCTACTGAAATCAATTTAGAACACAGTTTAACAGAATCTAACAGCCATAATAACATTCAGCTCCAACAACCACATTGAAATGAATGCTTAGCATCCCACTGGGTTAAAGCTCAACTTTCACGTACTCCTGTGTCCTCTGGGTACGATCAGCACACTGGAAAGCACACATTTCAGGAGTGTTAGCCAAAACACAAACATTTGTATCTCATGAATCAATTTAAAGATAGTAGAAAAACAGTGAATTGTTTCCAGTACACCATTTTTGTAGGCCAACTTTTTAAAACTGCTTACAATTTTTAAAAAAAAGTTTCTAACTCTATGTATAAACTGATGTGCAAAGTTCCTAACACCAGAGGTGCAACTTATCCTGAGAATACCTCTGATAAAACAGGTTTAATTTATGAGTTTGAAGTTAGGAATATATTAATCCTAATACTTGAAATACTCTTTCAAGTTGTGAAGTAAAACAATTTACTCTTCTAATAGATAAAAGTCTACCATGAGGAATGACTAAAAATTAATATGAAAGGCCAGGAAAATTGGGTTTCCATTCTCAGCTTTGCCAGAGATTCTACAACAGCTCAAATGATAATTCTTCACAGGCAAACGCTCCCTCCCTCAGGTTGCTACAATGCTCACTACATAACTGCTTGTGGGGCATGCTAAAGTTCTTAGGTAGTGAGCATCATGAGAATTCAAAACAAACTTCATGACGTAAGAAATATTCCAAAAATGAGCAAACTCATATTACTAGGTAAATAGAACACAGTAAATTTAAATTGCAACTGAAGCTTTGTGACTATTAAAGGTGTGAAATGTGTTATTCTAAAATCTGAAATAAGTTTTGAAGGCATGTGATCTCCAAACAGCTACTAAGTTTTGAAGGCATGTGATCTCCAAACAGCTACTTTTCACTGTAGATGCAGAACTGAAATGTACAGATAATTATAAGTATACCAGCCTGTCTTCTTAGAAACATCTCCAAAATCTGAGTGCATTAAACTAATGATATTTGAACAAAAAATTTCAGCCAATTTATCCAGAAATTAAGGTGCTGATTTCACTTAGAAGTCCCCACTATCCTGTATTATTTTTCCTAGGATTCCTTAACAAATCTATCACTCTAGACCGACATATTTTCTGAAAACTTACTGCTGTATACCATTATTCGACATAGTTATTGTAGCCTAGTGCTAAAACAGTATCTACAAGGAAGAGAGTAAGAGAGAATTTATCACCAATGAAATTTCATGTTTAACCTTACCCTAAGGTCTCCTGTGCCTGGAAAATATTCTCCATACTTATGGAATGATACTGTCATGACACGATCTGTGGTATAAAATGCTTCTTCAACACCATCACCATGATGGATATCAATATCAATATACAACACTCTTTGGTGATACCTAGGAAGAAAATAACATGAGAAATCATCATTATCTCTTATATTTATAGTAGACTGATACCGAACAAGAAAAAAACTAGTGAAAAAACCCACAACCAGACATTAAAATCCAAGATTACAATCATGTTGATGATTTTGGTTGAGGCAACCATATGCTCTCAGAATTCTCAGTCCAGTTTGAATAGCAACATTATTAAGTTTATCTTAATCAAAATAAGTAACGTATCTAGTATTTACCCCAACTCATCTCACTCTGTAGAAGCTATACCTTCTGCTTCTGCTCACAGCATTTGTTGTTCACATCTGCTGAATTCACCCCTTTCACATGACACTTCTTTCTGCCTTGTCAATAATTATCAACAGTCTGTGTTCCATAAGCCCCCCAAAAATAAATTAAATACTTGTTTTTCATTGACTTTTCTTCTTCACCTCTCCAGCTTGTAAATATATGGACATTCTTACTTTCGAGTGTATCACACTTTCTATTTGCAAAAATTTATTACACTACTGTTTAGTATTTCCTTAAATACTGCAAATTTCAGGTCATTTGAGATGGATAAACTAACCAGTGGTTCGAAGCCTTAGAGTACTGAAAACAGTATTGGCCCTTAAACTCTATGTTTTCTAATAAAGAACAAAGTCTGTCAACATCAGAAGATGCATTTTCATCATGCTTTGTGCAGTACTATAGAATATGAGTCTGAGCAGCCACAATTTTGGGGACAGTCTCCTACGGTTACATAACATAACTATTTGCAAGATTCCTTCCTTCACATTCACATTAAGCTCAAAAATTGAGGACTGGACCACAGAAAATCATATCACTTTTCATAGACTGCACAGATAGCTCCTGAATATATGCTGCACATTAAAAAGTATGTCTAATTATTTAGTCTCTTTAGAAACCTTTTCCATCTCTAAACTTCCAGATTACAGCTGCTTCCCCCATTCCTCACCAGCAAACTCAGCTGTTCCATTCACAAGAATCAAATACCTAGAATATTTCTTCTAATAAATGATATTTATGTGTTATTAAAAGGGATACAGTCTTCTGAAGTGGTAAAAGCAACATTCAGGATTTGGAATTTTAGTGAAACATTACTGCTTGAAGTTAATTATACGATCACTTTTTCATTACTCCTCATTTTTTATTTTGCAGTCACAGAAGCACAGCTGTTATTTCACTATTTATTCATAACAGCCACATTAATTCATGTAATAATCCAGGAAAGCTCAGTGCATGATCTACCCTGAACATTCCTGTTTGGTTAGAAACAACTCAAGTGATAGGAAACAGGCAGGCATATTGTGAAACCACATGGATGTAAGATTATGAGCACAATGACTGCCCTAAGGGGTCAGGGTAGTGATCGATCTAGCCCACTATTCTGTCCCCCTGAGAAGATTAATATTTCCAGAAAGCAAGTAAGCCTATCCATTTTCTGAATTCTGCTACTCTAGTACTTCCCCACCACCTAGACTTACAGCACATGGTGTTTTACATGGTGCACTGTTGCTTGGATCTTTAACATCCATTTGCAGATCTCTTGTCCATGATTACGTTTAATCCCTTTTGAACCTTGTCGCTGTCTGCTTCCTTAAGCCTCCTGTGGCAACAAGTTCCAGAAGTTCACTATCCTCTGCATAAAGAATTATTTCTAAGTATCTCTTTTTAACCTATCTCCTACTAGTTAACTTTTCAGCTTGCCTGTATTTAAGTTTGAACATCCTGATGAAGCCAAACCAGGCAGAGATTGGAGCCTTCTTAATTGAAACTGCAGAATTTCAACATGGGCTACGAAAACTCACTGAAATAACTACAATCCATATCTTAAAACATTTAAATACTTAAATTTGACACTTTCTATAATTTTATCTTCATCACAAACTTACTTCAGTAACTCAAGGATGGCAAGCACAATATCATTGACATAACAGAAACCAGATGCCTCTGATTTCTTGGCATGGTGAAGTCCTCCAGCCCAATTGACTGCCATGTCTGTTTGTTGTCTGTTTAATTTTACTGCCCCAGCTGTAAAAAGACACAGAGAAGAATGAAAGAAAAGGGAGTCAGAAATTTCTGATGGCCTTTAAATCTGATACATGAAATAATATTTTGTTTTTTTAAATAAACTGATCTTAGAACTGATCTCCTATCAACACTGAGATACTTAATATAACTCATATTTTACAGTCTGTAACTGATATATTATAAATAATAAATAAATATATTAAAAAACCCTTATACTTGCTTGAGTTTTAAATACGCTATCAAAATTTTAAGTTGTTGACATAAACCTACTAAAGCTACAAAAGAGCTGGCAAACAACCCAGACTTACCAACAGAGCCTCCAGTTGACAGCTGACAAAACTCAAACAGGCCATCAAATACAGGACAATCTTCTCCAACATTAACTGTGTAAGAAATGTATTACTTTTTCAAAACACCATTCCAACAGCATTGATATATACATGGATAACACAGATGCATAGTTCATTCAGCATTTTAACTACTTACCCCCCACCCCACTTCATTTGCCAGGCTAAATTTCAAACACTGAAAGCAATGTAGAATCTTTATAGTATAAGATGACTTCAAACTATCTTCTTTTTTCTTTTTTTTCTCTTTTTTTAATTCTTTTTAGTTTCTTTGGGAAGATTTGTCTACTCATTAACAAGAAGTTCGATGATTTTTAGATTTTTGAAGAAGTGCTGATTAACATAGGTCATGTTAAAAAACCAACAATTACTTAGAAAAATAATTTGCTGACAATAAAGCATCATAAAGAAGTTACAATACTGCCTTTAAAATTTATATAATAGCTGTCAAACTGCATTCCTAACAGCACTTTGAGCCTATTCCTTTAATTAGAAAAATAAATTAACAGAAAGTGTGAACAGTGAAAAAGGTACAATTCTTACTATCTCCCTCCAAGAGAAATGAATAACTTCTTTTCTTGACTTAAACACACTTTAACACATTAATTTTTACTTCTCTACTATTCTAAAAGCCATTCTTTTTCAGAAAGATTTTAAGGCACTTTCATAAACAGCTCACACAAAGTTTAATCTATGTATTAAGCCTTATTATTATTAGTAGTATTTCACATCTAGAATACATCCTATGAAAGAAGAGGCAAAAATTCTTACATATGCTTAAAGAACATTTTTTCCAACATGGCTGGTTTTAATGGAAAAGTCCAAAATAGCGTAGCTAAAGGCAAGCATATGTTACTCTTGTTAAGAGTATTTCTCTAACTTCTGTATTGGTGAATATTGAGCTTTAAACAATGCTAACCATCAAAGCACATGCACATAGATTTAGCCTAATGTTGACACTTACATCTCTGCATTTGCTTGCTGTACTCAGACATATTGTCAGGCCTTATTGATCGGAGAAATTTGATATATTCATCACTATGGTACTTGGTCATTTCCTCAGCAGTTGCTTTGTGGGGTCGCTGGTAACAAGAACAAATTAAAGAAATAATCAGAGCGCTCCGCAAAATCAGCTAACAATTGGCTAAAACAGGCAACTTGAAAGAAAACTCACCTACTTTGAAATGAAAACAGTTAAAGTGACAGAGTGCTGTTTTACATAAAGCAAGGGCTACTCTGTTGTGAATATACAACTTCATTAAATACTGCTTCACTTTTAAGTAAAAGAGCTCTGAATACACTAACTATTCTCTGTTTCCACTTTCACCTCTCTCATTTGTGTGACAATACTTCAAGATCTTTAAAAATAACTAAAAACACTTCAATGGATATTCTATTGCTTATACTTACGTAAATTTCCATTTTTCTGTATAAGCCATAGTTTAGCAGCAAGTTATGGGTCATTCGGATCCTGTGAGGTTTCATTGGATGCCCTTGTCCATAGTAATAGTTTCCAATATCACCTGTCAATATTACACAAAAGAATAGCTATTCATATTACAAGTTTTCATTGCCACTTAGAAGAATCATTCTCAGAAGATAAGTAAACAGGTACGATTCCAGAAAACAAACAAACCCCATAAAGGGAGTACAGTCTATTTCAAAAAGGCCACAAGGAAAACAAACAAAGAGCCTGAATCTAACATTTTCACTACAAGCAGACAGTAGTGAGAGAGCAAAGACTATAAGACATGGTTTCAAATCAAGAGTGACGTTCCGGCCCAATAATGGGCCAGAACTGAAGAATAAATAATGGGAAACAGAACTGGAATTAACAAGGAAGTAGAAATTACTGATGACATTGCCACATAATGACACAACAGAGGCTGTAGTAAAACCTACCATTTTGCAGGAGCTGATTTTAAGATCCTCAGCCTGTCCTGAACTACTAATACTAGCAGTTAACATTACAAAAGTCAGCTTCAGATCCATTGTGGCAACCACATGCACAAACATTCCCCAGACACTTGCTGCTAGAGATCCACAGCAGTTTAACAAGAACCTTGTAATCCAGATTACCCAGGCTCTATCAAATTGAAAGGCAACTAGACACACAATTAAAAAAACAAATTTGACACTCATTTCCAAGAAAAGAATGTCTGCTCTCATGGGCTAGTAATAAGTTTTCTTCCAAGCTTGGGTACTGTTAGAACATAGACAACCCAATTTTGAGCACTGATATTCCCGAGACATGAACCATTTTAAACAGAATGGTTTCTGGAAATGTAAATGAGCCTAAAAATTATGTCCAGTTGTCAATGGCTTTCAGCTGGAGAATTCTATAACAACTATTCACAACAGCACCTCTCTTCTTTTTGAGCAAACTTCCCGATAGGATTACTGAACTTTACCTTCTTTAACTTTTTACTTTTCTTTCACATCCTTCAACATGCTCTGCCTTGTCCACTGGGAACAAAAGAAACACTATTTTCACAATGTCATACTATTTTACAAATTTTGTCAGTCAGAGGCAAGAAGCAGCACCACTACAAAAACAGCTTTAGTTTCACCTCTTCAGCATAAGCTTTGTGGAGGAAGGGTAAATGTCAGCTTAAGGTAGCATCATCAACCACCAAGAAAAACAAGTATTACAGTAAGATTATAAGTCTCAAAGCATTTTAAAATCCTTCAAGCTTTCAGTTTTCAAAGTGACAAGGAGAGTAAGAATACTTAAGAAAACAGATACAATCTAATGTAACATAACAAGAAGGTATTTGGAAAAACAACCACTCAACACCTAGCTCTTTGCCATCCCATAACAATAGAAACACCAAGTTTCAGCATTAAGAACTTGGAAGAGCTTGGACCTTCTAATCTGGATACGTAAGTAGAAGGTTAGCACTTTCTGTTAGTTACTAAAACCTGGAGTCTGCAGGTACTTATTGCAAGCCTGCAGGTTTGGTCACATGCAGATCAAGAGCAAAAGGTATTAAGAACATTAACAAACTCCTTCCTTCCGTTAAAAACATTTTCAAGCATTTTATGAAAGAATACCTTTTATATTTAGTGTTTAGGAAAAAATCTCTCTCAGCTCTTTGGAACTAATGCCTAGAAGATGAAAAACAACAATTCACTAGCTCTACTTTGTTTTTTGAAGTTACTGTTAAGTTCCAGATTTAAAAAAAACTTCAAGCTAGTAAGAGCTTAAATTGAAATTTTTAAGACAACAGTGACTATAAGTAATATGATGCTTTTGAGGAAACTTCATTCCAAATGCATTTGGGGCTTAAGGAATGGGTTTTTTTACAGGCCACTTCATTTTTAAACTACTTCAGCTTATATAGTCCTCACTGACATTTTACTCAGAATGCTGATGGATAGGGAAGCAGACAAGAATTATTTTGTATCTTACGTATAATGTAGAATCCATTACTTTTCCCATATGTAATAGAGAAAAAATAAAATTAACAAGTTTCCCAAATAAAATTGCAACATATCCTTCAATATACTGCAATTATTTAACTAAAAAGATTCAAATTTATGCATAGTCTATATACCATACACTGCAGCAGACACTTAAATAAACAAATCAATAAATTAAGCATACTTTTTAGCTATCACTTTATTTTTTACCAGAAAAGAGAATTTTAAAACAATTGGCACACTGGTAAATTTAATGGGAGTTTATTTAATAAAACAGAAGATCTGTGGGTGAGTATCTGGCAGAAGCTTATTGATCCTTCCAGATTAGAGGCCAGCAGTAGTGACTAGCAATAGATATCAATATAATATACTTCAGTAACAAACAATAGAATACCACTTATATCTTTCAGGTCTCAGCATCACCAACAAAAAAGGGTTTTGGTATTAGCCTCATTAAAAAAAAAAATCAAACATATGGACAAGAAGTCCATCAAGTTTCAAGGGACGGTAGTAATGTCTATGTAGGCAAGGGTGGGGAAGGAAAAGATACACAAGAAGTTCCTTTTTCTTCATTAGCACCTTGATTTTCAACTAACATCACACAACAAAGTGGACCCATTTTGGACTCATCATCCTGTGATGGAGCCAAAGGTGTCAAAAGTCTCTCCTCCTTTGCCCATTGAAAAAGAAGGTGGCTTCCTGGTACAAACACTTCATCCACTGATCCTGAAATTTATGTCTCTCTTCTTCATATGTGACAGCCTTATTGGGGCACTTAGGGGAGAAAAGCGATGTGTACCAAGTGCTAGTGTGTGTGAGGATGGGACACTGCCCTCACTAATGGAGCTAAAAAGCTCTGCACATCGTGCCAGCCCAACTCTGACTGAGGTATGCTTATATAAGAGAAATGGTACGGAGAGGCCAAGCACACAAGACTATTACTGCAGATAATACGAGTACTTGACCTTAAACTTATTAATACAAAGGTAAAAATCATACAGAAGTGTTATGAGCATATTTATATATCTTACCAGTGTGGGCACATACAGTAGGTGCAAAAGAAAAATTGAATGAGGAAGTGGAGGGAAAAAATGCAAAGTAGTATATGTAGAAAGTTTACAAATCTATTAGTCTTTCACAACAAGGCTTTGAAAACTGAAATTTACTGTTTTATATCAGTAAAAAATGTCAGCTAAATGGTTCCCACTGAGAAGTAGCAACACATAATCTCTGAAAAGTTGAGTCCTTAAGTAAAGACACAAACCAAGTGCCCATTTAATGCTAGTATGAGTTTACTGCCCTGTACTGTTCAGCACCTGATGCAAAATATTACACCAACAGGTGACCAGAAGACCCATCTGAAGACTGTTACATACACTGTCACATCCTAAGTTCAAATATATATATATAAAAAAATTGTTTCTAAATTCGTACAAGTTACACACCAAAATGAAGAGCGCTAACAAATAAACTGATTCCTTCGATGAACATAAGTTTTAGACACCCACTTCTCTATCTGAGACTTTAGCAAGGCCTACAGATAATATTCTAACACACAGAAAAATACAAGAGGCTACATGTCCTAAAGGAACCTCAATTGTGTCCAAAAACATACAACTGAGCAACTACATGCTGCAATGTGCCCAAAAGAGTCTCTCCAGTTACCATGATATACCGAAAATTAACACCACTAAATTTACCCATTACAAAGCAGTCTTAAGTGCCTGAATAGAGGCAAGATATGACATTTATGCTTGTTTTTTTACTTTGCAACTTGCAAGTTACATTACTTCATAACTTTGAACAGATAAACTGTTATGTACACAACCACATTGCTGTTTATTTTTAGTTGCCATGAATGATGAGGTATTTCAGAACTGCACTATGAGCAGAAACCTAATTGAAAAAATGGAAACCACGTGGAAAAAATATCTTAATAGCAGTAGTTACATTGAATTGACTTCAGCGATAGTAAGAGGTAAACTCACGTAAAGATGAATGTAAAAAAGACCATCAAACAAACAGCTATTCAAACAGGCCTAAAATTACTGCACTAGTATCTGAAAGGCTGGGCATTTTATTCTATTTTTAAAATTAAGCCAACAGCAGAAGACTAGCAAAGCTCTGACTTTTGAGCCCTGAGCAGAGGCTGGACATCATCACCTGGTTTGGAAGCCACTGCACAAACTATTGATGAATTTCCAGAAAACACTTCAGTTTAAGTTAATTTTATCTGCAGATGTAAGCTTTAACTAGAAATGCTACTTAAACAATGTCCAACTACAGCAGCATACTGCCCTACTAAAACAGGTTTAGTCTTGTCTTTATGGGTGGAACCAACCACACTCTGATGCAGATCTCTCAAATTTTTCATGAAGGTAGAGCCTTTTGAACACCCACACTAACTTCTGCACAAGCAGAGATCTAAACAATACTGCTAGTGCACTGGCATGGAATAAACACATTCACTCACTGTAACCATGTGAGTTGCTGCGTGATTCTCTAGAACTGTGCTTTGCTGTACAGGAGCACAGAGTTGGAAAGACCATCTGGGTCCCTTGCTATGGTCAACTGTACAATACATATACCTATCTAGGAAGGAGCTGAGCTACCTGAGCCACAATGTTGCAAGACCATGACAACAACCTGAAGGTACTTGGTAAGAGACTAAAATAAAAGCTATGATATCCTCCCTTATCTAGCATGGTTCTAGGCAGTGTGAGGAACACACTTCGCTAAGCTAAGGCCATACACATACTAAGACTAGAAGCACGTATTAAAAATATTTCAAATAAGATCACCAGAGTATTTTAATTTGTAGATTTTTAGTTCTTCCTGCAGTACACTGGCTCAAATTTAAATGAAATTCCTGACTTGAACACAATTACAAGCAAGGAAGATTCCAGAAACTGGATGTGGTTGGCTGTCTATTACAAGCAAACTGTGGGTAATAAAATCAAGCTTTGTCTACTTAAAGTTCATTCGTTCTGAGTACAGTATGAAGGCTATTAAAAGTATTAATTATCAAAAAAACTGTTAACAGCAACACACTCTGAGAAAACTTGGCACTTTTTAAACTTAGTACACACAGGCTAATTTAAAAAAGCAGTCTTAGATGACAACCACACTGAGTTTCACAAAAAGCATGGAGAAATTTATTGCATCTCAGAAGATAAGGGTATATGCTTCTAGAACTTTTCAACACTTTTTAGTGTATACTTTGCAAGAAAGAGAGTAAAAGTATGTATGGATGGCTAATTATGACAAAAAATGGTATTTTACTTCAGTTATGACATGCCTTTAGAGATACACCACTATCTCAGCTGTGTGCTTGAGATACATTTGCATTTTTTTTGTTTTGGGTTATTTAGGGCTTCAAATACTCCCTTTGCTGTGATTCAATGACTTTGCTGGTACAATACAGTTACAAAACACTCAGAATTGCGAGATGAACCCCACACTAGCATCAGGAATATTTACTGCATGTATTAACTCTAAAATTTCTTCTAATAACTCTATTTCCAAAAGACATGTAAAATAACTGTTGATTTCGCAATTAAATGAGACATAAAAAGTATTCTAAAGCTCTTTCTGTCATATATAAAGCATTTATTTTAAGTCACTTTCACCACAGATCCTATTTTCTCTACATTATTAACTGCTTTTATCCTAGTCTACATATTCAAGCAACATATGAGCTTCAACTGCCTTAAGTTGCCATTATCCTGCCACCTCCAAACTTCTTCCTCTTCCAGTTTCTCCCCTCTCTTTACTAGCACAGCTTTTTGGCTGTTAATGTGAATCTAATCCTAGCATCGAGTATCAAAATTCAGGGATCACAGGAAAACTGAGTATATCAATATCTAGTAAACTATAGCCACTTGACTTAATTAAAAAAAGAGCAAACTCATAAAAAAAAAGAAAGCAAACATTTGCAGAGAGAAAGCCTCTAAACTATCACTGCTGTCTTTCTTTCAACAAGGTGAAAAGTGATTCCTCTTCCCAAGGAAAAGTAAGATCCCAGCTTCACCAAAATTATCCCTAACAGGGGCCTCCTTTCCCCTTTAGGCGGAACAAAGAACCAGAGCTAGCAACAAAGAGAAGGGGGCGGCAACCACCACTCTGCCTCCTTTAGTGTGGTTAAAAAAAAAAAAAAAAAAGCCAAGACAGGCCCCACAGGATCTGCCATTTTTAAAGAATAGCAGATTTGCTACAGCAACAGACATCTTTGATATCTTAGTGGGTTTAGCCACTCATCTTCATTTCCAAAATGGTGAAAACACCAAAGCCCTATGGCCAAACATCCTCAACCTCCGTTTCCTGGCTACTATCAAGATCAGTCTCAGATGCCACTGCACAGAATTGTTACAATAGGAGGCAATTAAAAAAAAAAAAAATAAAATCTCTTAACTAATCTAACCAACGAGCTTACAAAAAGGAATAAACCAACTGAAGCTCAAGAAGAAAACAAAAAGTTCTTGCCCCTTTGGCCAGAGAAAACCTCAAATAAGTTGCTGCAAAAATCTGAAACCAAGCACAAGCTTCACGTACTTCTTCGCCGTTTCTGGCAACACAGATCACAATCCCCTGTGTCCCCACCAGACAAGCGTGCAAATTCAGAAGGCCTGCAAGCAACTAAAATTTCACTACTATTAAACACCTACGCACACAACTTTTTGCGTTTTTCAGGAAGGCAAGCTCGTGGGAGCCAGATCTCTGCTCCGATGCGACCACAGTTTGGGGAACTGGTGGGGGCAGAGTCCCCCTGCCCCTCGGCACCCCACCCTTCGGTCTGAAAGCCAGAGAAAGGGAAAGGCCTCAGCCCAACAATCACCAGGTGCCGGAGCTACACATGGCCTGGACTTTCTTTGCAGAGGAGGAGCCAGACAAGGCAGCTACTCCAACGCCTCCGTGCTCAGAGGATAGAGGGGAGTGTCTCAACTTTTCCTTTTTTTTTTTCTGGGGGGGTGGGGGTGTGTTTAACAATACACACAGCACTCACCACCGGGCCGGCAGGCCCCGCAGCTCCCGACCCGCACCAAACACCCGCAGCCCCCCTCCGCCGCCCCCAGCCCGGCGGCCCCGGGGCTCGGAGAGCGGGGTACGGCGGGGAACCCCAGCTGCCACGGTGCCGGGGACGGGGGGATCTCCTCCGATGGGGAAGGGACGCCCGTGCCGGGCGGGGCCCGGGGGCAGAGCCCGCCCCGGGCGGCCATTAGAGGGGCACCCCCCGCTCCTACACACGCGCTCCGCGCCGGCCCTGCTCACCGTCGTAATAGTAGCAGACTTTCTTCTTGCCACCGCCTGACTGTAACGCCATAGGGCTGCCGCGCCGGGGCCGAGGGCAGGGAGCGGGAGGCGAGGGAGAGCGCGGGAGCCGGCTCGGAGGGTGGGGAGGGGCGGAGAGCGGGAACTCGCGGCGGCGGACCGCCAGCAAGCGGGAGCGGGCCGGGCCGGCGGGAGGGGCGCTGGTGGAGCGCGCCCGCAATCCGCCGCCGACGGGGGTAGGCGAGGGACAGAAGGTTGCGAAGAGGACGCACGAGAGCGAGCACGGACTCCCGCCGCCTTCTCCGTGCTGCTCTAATGTAGACATACACGCACAGCTGAGGAAAGAAGCTAGCGGGGATTCCTCATAAGCGAACTCCTGGAGGCGGCTCTTTCCTCGTCCACCCCCACGGTGCTCAGTGGTACGGTCCCCCGCGGGCATTTGGGGTGTATCCCCGCCTCCCAGCGGGGCCATCTGGCGCGTGCGCGCATCGGGCACTCTGTCCCACATGGCGGCGGCGGGAGCGGGAACTGGGAGCTCCCTGCGCTGGGGGAACGGCGGGCACGGCCCTGCTCGCCCCAGAGCCGCAGCGGATCCCTTCAGCCGCCGGGCTACCTTGTCGGTAACCGGGCAGCGCTTTCCGCCGCGCTGGGGCCGGTACCTCCGGCGGGGCGGGGGCAGATGTTTGACATGTCGGTGCGTCGCGTCGTGTCCCCTCTCCAAGTGAGAACTCACCCAGACTGCTGTTTTCCACAGCAAAACCTGTTTCTGGTTTTCTTTGTTGTTGTTGGATGGTGGTTGGGATTTATTTTGGGGGCTTTTTCAGTGTTCTTTACAGTCAGTACTCAGGCCCTATTGACAACTGTCGCTCCTCAGTATCCTTATTCTAGAAGGAGTTTAAAGCACACTCCATAGTAACACATAGCAATTTCTCCAAAAATCAACTCTGCAAGAAAGGTTTAACGTCTTGGCCATTTCAGTTTGAGATCTACCAGCAGTCTTCTCTCCTTCCCTCAGCTCAGGTACAGTCACAGGAGGAAGAAATATAGAAAGTTAACACAATCACATTTATACTTAACCTTGTGTACTTGTGTATTTTTATTTATACAGGACTTCACACTTCATAAAACTTGAGGTCTCCTATGTCTCGGGATGCGCATCAGTTACACTAAAGGTTACTGTTTCTTCAGCTGACAGGAAAGTCCTACATTTAGGGACTTACACTCATAGAAGTCTTGAGCAAACCTTTATTGATTCATGGGAGTCTCTAAAAGTACCTAAAACCCCTCATTATTGCCACATGTGTCTTTTTACTTGATAACAAGTAGATATTTGTATAATTTATGTCACATGTCAAAACCAGTACACGCCCTAACACAGGTTAGATCTTTGTTCCCAGAATTAGACAACTTTTAGTCCTAGAGATACCTAACAGCAATCTGTGTCCTTGTAGATGAAAAAAAAATCATTTCATATTGTTAGAGAAAGCCAGCTGTAAAATAAGTTTGTTAACCACATGTTTGTACACAACAGCCTGAGGATAAATCTAGGACACACTAAGAAAAACGTTCTGGATTTCACCCCCTACACACACACACACCCCCTTATAACAAAAGGATACTATATTATTGTGTAGCTAGGTAGTGTAGTATTTTTAAAAAGCTTTTGTCATATTCCATTTGGAAATTTTCTCTTAGAAATAACATACAAAATTGATTTCTACAGCTTAACATACTGCTGATGGGTGCTTCTTGGTGCAAACTGCAGCAAGATGCCTACTTGACATAAGCTATATCAGGCATGATATTATTCACTTACCACTAAATTCCTTTTAATCTCAGCCTGCTTAATGCTGTCACCACATGACCACACTTAGACTGGACTTCAGAAGCTTCATACATTATTTTATATTAGGTAACCAATTTATTTTATCTTTGGCCGTTGAAATTCAATGTGTTTATGAAGTTATTCAATATTTTGTAGTTGCCTGATAAACATTTCTATTCAAACAGTATAATAACACATCAGCTGGCTCAATATCAGGAATACCTTCATTGCACCACATAGGGAATTCAAGGAAAGCAGTGATATGTTGTCCAAGTTCTTATTAGGGACTTCATATGAAGAAAAAAAAATCGTAATTTCATTAGTAAGTTAAACCATTGGTTTCAGATGGGTACTCAGCTTCATATAAGAATAGCTTACTTTGGTTTAAATGGGCTAAATCAAGAGAAACTGTGTTGCTTTGGGGTAAAAGTGACTAGACATTTTCTTCTAACGCCTGAATTTAAGGAAGTGTAGTTCTCATTTAGGGAAACTCCTTGAATACTAACTCATTCCTGAATTGAGCAAGCATCAACAAGCATACAAAGTTATCCTTTAGCCAAAGGGATAAGAGTTCATTCACTGAATTTACAGTTAATTCAGAATGACAGTAAGGACACTATTAGATTTTAAGGTTAGCAATGCTTAAATATCAAGTTTCACAGGTATCTGTGCAAGGGTGACTTCCTAGCCTAGTTTCACTTCCAGAAATGCAAGTTTTTCAAATACATTCAAACCTACTTGTTAAGGAAACGGCATAGCAGCCATGCTACACAAGAGGTAATGACATGGAAGAAACTCTGGAGCATCAGTTCCCATTGTAAACAGGCATGTACATCATCTACTTGAATCCCCGACCAGTTCAAAACCAGAAAAGACCATATAACAAAGTATCCCATTTTACTATGTTGCAACATACAGGCACTTTATAAGATAATGAAGATTTTTTTATACCTTCCTGTAATTGCTTGTTGCTGTTACTGAATGAATTTATTTAACATTGTCTCTGCATCATTATACTAACATTAGCTCATTCTTTCACACAGAATTTATGTTGAGCTTTAGGCAGTATTTACTTAGGGAAACAAAAAGCAGCAATAAGGATCTTTTAAACAGAAGAGTAACTTTCGGCTTCGACATTTGCAGCCAGCATGGTGACAGAAAGCATTACTATTTCTTACATATTTCTCCTAAATCACATCTATTGTGACAACTCAGGAAATGCAAATAGTGAATGAAAAATGCTCTACAAGTGAAGGTTTATCCCTTTATTTTTCTTATCAAAAAGCAATCCAGAAGATCTACCCCACTCCCACAAAACAAATGGAGGATCTACAGCACCTATTTTTTCTCTTAGCAGTTGTTATAGAAAAGTGACATTACACACCACAGAAATATGCAGATCACCTTCCTTGTCTCTCCTTGCATTATCTAGAAGCAGAAAGATACAGCTTGAAAGCTTGCCATCACCTAGCTCATTACTTCCCAAACTGTACAATGCCATGCACACTTATACAGGTATAGCTACCTCGGTTCACTTTAGCACAACTTAATAACCAGTCAAGTTAACAAACCACCCCCCCCCAAAGAAAACCCAAAACAGACCCAACCTCAGATGAAATTCATAACAAAACCAAACCAACCTACAACAAAAATCAACCAAAAAAAGTCTTATAAAGCAAAGGAAATTGATCACCTAAAAACTGATGAGTCTCCTCACCAGCAAAAGTCAGAAACTACCTCATTGCAGACCATACACTCCAAACTAACCTAACCTAAAAATACATACAAAATATACTGATTCGTTCACCTCCTCGTAGAAGAGTCATCCCTTATACTATTAAGTACAACCCAATTCCTTCCTCTATCTCTAACCCTACTCCTCTCCTTACACCCCTGCCAGCTCTTTTTATCTGTGAAAGTAAGCGTTTTCAGGCAATACCCATTAGCAGCATTCACAGCTGCAAGCTTGTAATCGCACATACCCAAATGTAAGGAGAAAGTCAGAGACAATATTATTGACTTGTTCTATTGTCTGTTGATGGACCTTGCAAGAATTCTAGAAAGGCTAAGTGTAAACAGGGATTTAGGGTCACTTTCCTGAGAAGAAAACATGCTTCTTCATGCAGGTGTCCTGCTAATGAAATCACTTTATGCAGATGTCAAAGTCATTAAAGAACAAATAAAGGGAACTAAACAGAAAATTACCTGAGGTTCAAAGTTTCTCCCTTGCTTATTTATGCAATAAGCACTGGCAATATTGCTATCTACCAACTGCTTTTGAATTTCAAGGGGGTAGGCTGCTGAATATTCTTACTCATTACTGGAAAGTGCTAACACTAATAGTGGTTTTGTTTTAATACTGTACAGTAGTCTGGGAGCTGAGGGAACTTGCCCTGCTCCTGCAGTTGTGTGCCTGGCAGTCCAATAGCCAGGAGAAGTCTGTCTTCAGTGCGCAGCATGTAAATGCAGATGCAGTTTTTATTCAAAGTGGCATAATATAATGCAATAGGTCCAATCTTGTCTTTAAAAAAATGGCTGTAAGCATCAATATTCAAATATTTTCTTTTAAAAACTTACTTTTTAAAGATTTGTTAGAAGTAGGAAGATGGATTAGAAGCAAACTGCAACTATAGGTATAGTATAATGAGAGTAATATAAATAACCTTTCCTATTTGTACTGAAAATTTTGACAGATCTAAAGAAAATGGTATACATTCAGCTTCACAAGAACTTTGATGTCTGTCACTAGCTTTTTCAGTTTAAATACTGTTTCTTGGTGACTGCTAGAGTGCCTGGTCTTCCAGTGCTCATTCTTTGCAAAGACAGTTTAACTTACAGTAGCTTTCAGTGAGTTGACTGAATGATATTCTCTGCATCTGGTAATGCCTGAAGAAATATAGACTTTTCTTTTTTTAAGAGAAACTCTGAAAGATATTTTTAACATTCAAAAAATATAGATTAAAAAAGTAACTATCTATCACAATTTTCCAGAGCCACATACCTCCATATCAAACACAGTACTTGTGGCTTGCTGGTGTGTGCTTTACTTTGTTTTATCCTATCAACTTCTGAGCTAAACACTGAAGTTGGGTGGAAAGTAAACTTGTGTTCTCACTAATAAGTCATGTTTTAATAGCTCTGTGTGCTTACAAACTGTTAGGGGTTTTTTTGTTTGTTTTTAGAACAGTATAACTTATAGAAATTGGTATGGACATAGGCAGGTATTACTTTGCTTTCAGTAAGTAATGGGAAACTTGTGCCATGCTAGTGGGAAACAGTCTGCTGTTAGAAAATCCCCAGAGGACATGGATGAGC